AATATGGATGGGACTTGGAGCAAAAGGAGTAATAATAGGAACGGTTTGAATTTATATTTTCTAAAATTAATCTCACTTTATTTATTTTTCTATTATTGTAAAATTTGATTTTGGATTTTCTTTAGAATAATTTGTTTTACATAATATTTTGTAACTTAAATTTAGAGTACTTAATAAATTAGAGATTACTCTGTAATTTTGTAGAGACGATATTTGAGTTTAAAAATATGTAATAAATTCAAAAAAAATATATATAATTATTTAATTATTAGTCAGTCTACCAACGACATCGTTGGTTACCTTCGCCAACTCACAATGCTCGTACCTCAGCTTCGTATTCCGGCAAACATGCCATGAGCCCTCTCTTCTGCATCTCATCGAGCATCTTGTTCCCCTCGAAAATCCTTTTTTGGAAGCCAAATTCGATTGCCATTGATCTGTAAATCGTCAAAGGTTGGGAACGATTTCGTGAAGTCTACACAATTGAACTCGAGAAGGTGATATGCCCTAATTCAGGAGGAATCTATAACCTTGTTTCGAGCGCTTTCAAAACCTCACGATCGCGCAAGGCCAAAACCTTAAGGTTCTTCATTTGATAATTGTATCGACAAAGCCAACCCCAACTAGCTTAGTATTCAGATCGTGGTAAGCCGAGCATCAGTCCATTATGATAAAGATCTCATGATTCATGATTAGCAACAAAATCAGAATCAGATGATCAAAATACAAGCCATGAAGTAGAGCTACTATAGCCCAAAAGTGTTGACAGTACACGAACACGGACAAAATCCCATCTCTACATCAAACGCACTACACAATAGCCAACAATAGCCAAATGAAAGAAGCACAAACAGCACATTAATAATAATAATAATAATAATAATAATAATAATAATAATAATAATAATAATAATAATAATGAAGTTCTATTCTCGATTTGTCAAATGGTCGAAAACCGTCACCGCACAGTTGGTTAATCACAGGTAAAAATTGAGATCACCTATATGAAAAACAACAACCAGGCTAGTTCACTTCCTTCAACTAAAAAACGAAAAAAAATAAAAAATAAAATAAAGAAACTAAAATGGGCTCCATATTCAGTTTTCAACCATCTACATCCGAGCATGGGATATATCATACCCGTCCCCAGGAAGGATTAACAGCGGCATTAGCAGCAACTTCAACCACTGGACCGTTTGTAATTTGAGGCCCAACCACAAATCCACCAACAGCATATGGGTTAGCCCCATCTACTGTGGGCCCGCGAATCGTTTGAAGATAAGGCCCGCCAGAAGTGTCTGGACAGCTGCTGTTCCCATGATGTGTAGATGGATGCAAGTTGTCCGAGTTTATGTAAGGACCTTGTGGGATTGAAACTACAAAAATGCGTTGAGGAGTTTTGTGAGGACAAAGACGAATAGTATGAAGAATAATTGTACACATGGATCACATTTTACGAGCAGGAATAATTACCACTAGCCCTCGGCTCGGCTTTTATTAGCTCCGCTCGCAATCTCTCTACTTCTTCAACCAAGGCAATAAGATCTTTCTCTGATTTCCTCATCTCTTCCACTTTCTTCGTGTTCAAGCCTTTTTCGTACTCAAAAGTCTTGCTTCATTTCCCAAAATAAATAAATGAAGTTAAGATGCAATTACTAGTTAAAAACTTAAAACATCAGCAGTATTTACAGCTCAAGAAACCATTCCTTTGAATACAGTAAACGAAACATTGTAATCAAACACAGCTATATGAAAATGTAAGAAAAAATACGAAGTCCACCTACATTTCAAGATTTTAAGCATAGAAACCACAACACAACTACACAAGAGAAAACAGTCTAGTACAAAATCAAATGCGAGCCCATGCAAATTAACTGCAGAAAATAATAAAACAACAAACAAATACCACTCACCATAACCTCTTATGCTCGCTCCTCAAGCCCTCAAGCTGCACGTGCATTTCTGGAAGCTTCTTAACATTCGCACGAGTATTCTCCAATTCTATGTTAGCCTGCTGGATTTTAGCAATCAACTCCAGTTTTTCCGTCTCTAAATCCCTGGCTTCACCCCGCGCCTCTTCAAGTTCCTTCATTAAATTCTCCCCGGCCCTTATATCAGCTTCCAATTTCTCGATCTTGTCCAACAAAATTCGAATTTCAATATCCCCTTCATTTTGGATACTCTGGATATTTTCTCTAAATTTATCTGCTTCCTGCTTTGCAGCCACAACATCCTGCCTCAGGGCCAAATGGCTGGACGCTAGTGTACGGTTATCCCTAGTGAGTCTTTCTATTTCCGCCACCTGTAATGCCAATTTGTCCTCTAAAAGCACGGCAAGAGGGATTTGTTCCCTGGGATGGTGAGGATGAGGAGGCAATGGCCCACGACGCAATCGTTCGTCATATGCTGGCGGTATAGTTCTTCTCGAGCCCATGAAATAGAGATGATATCCTGACCTGTGAAAAAACGAGAAAAGACGATGGATAAAGCTTCAGAAATTAAGTTGAGAATTACTGACGAATTATAGATACGTGATACCACGGAATTATTTAAAATTAGATAGAAACCTTATCTGTAGCATTACAATTACTCAAGGCTTGATGCCTGGAATTTCAACCAAAAAGATTGATATGATTATGAAATATTACTTGCATGAGAAGTGCAGGTCATGTCCGAGTTTAATAATTAATATGCAGCATAAAATCTTAGCAGTGCACTACGCACACTTTCACATAGGACCCATGCAGAAGACTCCTTCCAAAACATTCCTAAAATGAGAAATTTTCTATTTACAAATTTAGCGAGAACTTTTATGTGAATGATAATATCTATACACGAGGTACAACATAAAGTTGAAGTGAGTGCGTGAAATAAGAATAAAGAGAGGAATCCTAGAGTTTACAGTATTAACTTGTTCACGTCGTATTAATTTTTCGAAACAGATGGAAAAATTGCACCAAAAAGTATCAATTCTTTGGAAGAAACTGATGCCGACTAATACTTGCTGGAAAAAAAAAAACTTAAACCAAATCAGATTTTCTCACAAAAGCTAGTGAACGAAACTTTCTCTGATTCAAAATTTCATACAAACTTAAAAATAATTCATTATTTGGTGAATTAGGAGAATCTCTACTCAATCTCATTTGGAAAACATTACGGATTTGCTTTGTTTGCTGGTGACGGTACATGTACTTTCATTTTCTCAATCCAACCTATTTAACTCCACTTCATCACATGTTCGTTACGACCCTCATTACATTTCTCTCCTAATACACCACAATGTCCAATGATAGTCCACAAAACACTTTCCTCTTATCAGTCAAGATATAACCAAGCATTTCCATATATGGCATTACATTCTTTTCATTTTCACTGGCGATCAAGAGGACAAAGCTCGGCTCGGGCCCATCTGATCTGCAACTTGCATGCAGCAAGGATTTGCAGACAGGGAAAATCACTAGAAATCATTATCTTAGCCCCTTCCACTAAGATGCAGCCAAGAAAACAAATTTCAGCCAAAATTTTGTGCCAGCGGGCAGCATTTAAAAGCATCTCTAACTACCGACATTCTCTTTCCAAGTAACTAAATGCATTTCTCATTTCTCAACTATTTCTCAAACTGGAATGGAATTAGCTACTGATAATCACTACCCCAAAGGACGAATTTACTTCCCCAAATAACAACAAGAGCCCAACAAATTTCACAGGAGCATCACTAAAGCTATGTAATCCCCCAATCACAAACTATATATGTATATACAGAACAAAGGCTGAAAAATTACTCGAACGACTAGCCCAGGAACCATAAATCATATATCATCTAACACACAAATTCATAATGTGATTCAAAAACATCAGTACAGCAGTTAGAATTTTGCTACGAACAGCACACTTTACCAAAAACATCGATTTTATCCGAGTTAAGCATTCAATTTAGGCCCAAAAAATTCAAAAAACAAAAAATGAACACCAAAATAGAGGATTTAAATACTTAATATAACTCGCAACGGCAAAATAGGTCGAAGAATCAAACCTTTTTACTGCGATTTTCGTTGCGGAGATATCATCTGCAGCACATATGCACCAGGAAGGAGGCAAAACCGAAATGCAGTGAAATGAATTGGACCTCAAGCGCAAAATGCGAAAGAGTGTATAAATATTTGTGTCATTGAACATTAGAGGAAGGAGGCAAAACCGAAATGCAGTGAAATGAATTGGACCTCAAGCGCAAAATGCGAAAGAGTGTATAAATATTTGTGTCATTGAACATTAGCCCTTGGGTTGGGCTTGTGAATTCATAATAAGATTTTACTAATAATTGCTATTTCGTCCGCTACTATAAGATTATTCGCATCTTATATTAATCTTGTCTCGTTATGTACTTTAGTCCGTCGTAATAATGAAATGTCGAGATTTTTATTTTCCTTTTTAATATGGTCTGAAATCGTAAACGGACGACTACTTTATTTTATATTTTTATTGAAGAAATATAACAAAATGAAGTAATTGTTATTTTTACAATTTTTATATTTTGATATGAATTCAGGGTGTATTCATTCGGTAGATAACTTGACCTTTTTATTATTATTTTTAAAATTATAAAATATACTTTTAAATTTTTAAAAAATCTTACAAAAAATATAGATATTCGATTTATTTATTTGGATTGTTTGGACTTGTCAAGATTTTTTGAAATTTCAAGCGAAATCTCACACAAATCTCACATTTCATACTAATTTTTTATGGATTTCAACTAAATAAAGAAAATTAAAAATATTAAATTTTAAAATTATTTAAATTTCACTCAAAAGTCAAATATCAAATGAAAACAACTTACAAATACGGGTAAAAATAGTTTCGCTATGTCTCTAATATTTTTTCTTTTCATTTTTTTTGGCCCCAAGTCCATGGCTAGTCCACCCAAAAAATTATGCAATATTGGGTGTTAATAATACACTAGTACAACACCCATGTATTACATGGGTGGCGACGGTGTCTCGTTCATGGACGGATTCATAAAAGTGGGATGGGTATCCGGACAAGTCAAATTCAAGACCGTCCCGGCCGGCGCCCACCCTTACCATAAATAATCAACATATTATAGATAATCCGAACCTAAATATATTTGGATTAGAAGTAAACTAAATCTACCCAAGTCTAATAACGAAGTATATATTTTTGCCACATAGGATCCCGAAGCATGCGAGCTTGCCACATAGGCTCAGCACGTTCTCAATTAATATATAGGGAGGGATTATATATAATTTGCACATAAACGATATACAGTATGTGCTATTCAAAATTAGCAATTCTTTAGAAAAGGTCATCACCCTATTATACATTTTCAATCCCATATGTGGATAGATGTAGTCCAACTTGACCAAGTACAATGGTTGTACCAACTACCAAGTCCAAAAGCAGGACAACATATATATATACATATATATATATGATGCATTTTAGTTGAACTTCTAAGCAATAATCAAACTAAAAACTCAAGACAACCATGAATTTCTCCTCCCAATTTCTCAATTTTCTAGTCATCCTAAAAGAGTCCGTCAAACTACTCATCAAGAATGGGAAAATAATGGCTTTAGTAACCGCGCTTTCTCTATTTTCCTTCTCGGTTTTCTCCTTACTTTTCGATCTTCCCCCGTCTTCCCTGACGCAGGACATGCTTGCTCGGGAGTCCTTGATCCCGATATTGAGCTCCAACAGCTCTGAATTCAGCAATTACCTCTCGAGAATCAAGAACAAGTTTCCATTACTTGCCCCAACATTGTACATTGTTTTGGTGTTCTCTTACTCCCTCGTCACATTTCTGTCTACAATTGCTACGGTCATAGTATCGGCCGAATCCCATAAGGGGAACGTGAACTTTTCTGCAAAAGAGTTGTGTTCGAGTACCATGAAATCTTGTATAGGGTCGTTTGTTACTGGGTTTTACACGACGATTCTCGTCATAGGTTATGTTTTCTTGGTTTTGACTATAAACGCCCCTCTAAGAATGTCATCTAACATGTCTACCTTAGGTTGGGCTGTTTTGTTCACTTTTTTTGCATACGTTTTTTATCTCTATCTATCGAGCATTTGGATTTTGAGCTTGGTGGTGTCGGTGGTCGATCGAGACTGCAGCGGGATCAGAGCGCTTGGAAAATCGGCCGAAATAATCAAGGGCCAAGAATTAAGTGGGTTTTTGCTTAATGTTGTGATGAATTTAGCTTCTTGGGGTGTGTACTTAGGATCAATGAATATCAAGAGCGGAACACATTGGATATCAAATGAGAAGATTAAAGGGTTGATATCGGTGGGTTTTACTTGTTTGGTTTGGGTTTTGAATTTTGTGGTCTACACAGTTTTGTACTTTAGGGGCAAGGAAGGAATTGGGCAAGAAATTGAATTAAATTTGAGTAATGTGGAGTATGCCAAACTAGGCAATGATGATCCACTTGTGGGTGTAGCTTGAAATTGTTTGTGGCCTGGTGTTAAATTATAGTTTGTGGATTTGATGTGGATTTTTTTNTCGTTTTTTTTTTCTCGAAACGATAGAAATTTTATAAAAACTAAACCACATAATTACAACTAGAAATTAGCTAGAATAGCTAAGCAGCCTTTATAAAAACTAAACCACATAATTACAACTAGAAATTAGCTAGAATAGCTAAGCAGCCAAACAACTGAATTTAGGAGGCCTACCCAAAGGTAGGTTAGAAGCAACTATACTAACTCACTCAAAAACAACAACTAAACAGCTCCCGTCAGAAGAATACATGGAACTCAGTCCCGACAGGAGAAAAAGAAAATAAAACACAATCTACACACAAATATAACAACCAACACCTATAACAAAACACCAACACACAAAGATAACCAGAATAAGGCCCTTCCCACAGCAGCGAATCCAAATCGAACAAAACCGACGCCGACACCCACGGGCAGCCACCCACATGAACGGAGACCCGGTCCAAGCCGCGAAGCCAGGAACTGCAGAAACAATGCCTAACTAGAATCGAGACCACAAACCTTGCCCTGTTCCGATAGCCAACCCCTAGACCCGCAACCGGAGATCAACAAAACAAGCTCCACCATCCCAACCACGACGACCCAGGCCCAGGACACATGACCCGGCCCCGACCCAACTCCGCTGATACAACCAAAAGCCCCAAAAGCAGAGAAATTAGGAGAATGAAGGAGACCGAAACGGCCCGATCTCAGCCCGACCACCACCACAAAGATGATCAACGCCACAGCCCTTAGTCGCATGCTCGCCGGAAAAATCGCCACTACTCAGACACCGGGGAACCGCCGGCCAAATACCCTCCGTGGCGACCAGAAAAGAGGCGAAAACCAGATTGAGCGACCCGCCGCCTCACCGGGGAAGAGGAATCCGACAATCCGACGAGCTTGCGAGAGCCGGCCGTACGGCCCGGTGACGACCGCCGCCGAGATGGCCCGGAGGGGCCCTGCTGTGGAAAGGGGAGCTGTTTGGCGAAGAAGGGTTTGGTTGATTTGGGGGTTTTCTGATTTTTCTTCGAGGAGAGAGAAAATTTTATTGTTCCGATTTGATGTGGATTTAAATGTGTGATAGTAGAGTTTTTGTTGTTATCATACAACTAGAACTACTAATTAAGCTGTGGTCATAAATAAAATATTATAAGCCGATATTATATTTATAATTATGAATTATATAATATAGATATCATATTTTATAAATTTAATCATTAGTAAAAATGAATTATATAATGATAAACTATTTTACTTACATACGAATTACCATAAAATAAGGGTCCAAACAAATTATTTGGTTGAAAGAATATTAAATTATTATTATTATTTTAGATATAACTATAAAATATTAATAGTATGATTATTTTGTTATGAGGTGTTGATAATAGTGAAGGAAGTTAAGTTGTACTACATGAATACTAATTTTTTTAGCTGACATATACAATTCTAAAACAACAAATATAAATTAAAAAACAAATTAGAATAAACCAATATTTTTTTAAAAAAAAAATCTATTATAAGAAATATTATTTATAAATTAATTCAAGATAAACTCGTCTGATAAATACAATACAACACCCAACATGCCACAATCCATAAGGATCAGAAACAGGTTGGAACCTGCTTAGAAAAAAAACGCAAGACACACTAATACCTAGAAAACAGAAGCAAAGAAAGCACTAAGCACAGAGATACCAAACCAAGAAACACAACTAAAAACACAAAACTAGCCACTGCCGAGGCCTAGCTAAGAAAATAAAAACAAGCCAGAAAAACAAAAACTAGACAGAAAACAGAAATAAAGAGAAAGAGCCTATGCTTGAGAAAGAGAAGAGCCATATTCCTGCCATTCCTTAACTGCTGTGTGATGTTTTATGTTTTCTTGTGACATATCATAAAAAATTATTATGTTATAATTTTTAATTATTAATTATTGTTTTGTTAACAATATATTCCTTCTATTTTTTTATAATTTTTAATTATTAATTAATGCTTTAATCATTTTATTATAATTCAAGGAAAATTTGAAGATATCTATAGATGGTACATCCAATAATAAATACAATCCCACGATTTTAAAACACATCTAATATATGTTTAAAATATTCACAAAAATCCCACAATTTTAAAATACATCTAACATTAGAATATTCACAAAATGTTTGAAGCAACTTATGTATAAAAAAGAATATTTTTAATATACAAAATCCTCACGTAACTTGAGATGAAAGAGGTAATATAGTGGAAAGATATGATATTTCCAGGATATTTACAATGTTACAAAAAAAATTGAATGATATATCACAAAATTGGAAAAACTTACTAGATAACTATCTATTAACTATTTTGATAATTTTGATGTGTTTGAATTATCAATAATAATTAATTTCATTATATTAATTAAATATAGAAACAATAATGAGGTATAATTTGCAGTAATGTTGTAAAATATGTGAATAGTATTGAAAAATTATAAAAGTTTGGAATTATAAAAGTTTGGAGTTGTTGGTGGCTTGATTTGGAGTTTCCATTTTTTGGGAAGGGCCCGAAGGATGATAACAATGGTGGAAATGGATTTTCGAAGAATTTTGTTGTCGGGGTTTCAACTAATGCAATTAGAGCTATTAAATTAAACGAGCCGCTCGTGAGTTCAGCTCATTATGGCTCAAGTTTGACTCGACTCGTTTGACAAGCGTGTCGAGCTCGAGTTCATTTAAATCATGTTTGGTTAAGCTCGGCTCACTAAAGCTCGAAAAAATAATTTTGATGTAATTTTTTATAGTTCGTCTAGCTCGATTCTGACTCCTTAAGGCTCGAGATTGACTTGTTAATATTGATAAATGAGTTGAGTTCAAGCTTGATTATGAGCTCGTTATGTTAACGAGTCGAGCTCTCTAGATGAAATTAGTGGTTCTGGGAAGCGGGTTTTGGGTATTAACGATGGTATTGAACTGGACCCCAGGAGAGAAGTTTATTACTTACCTAGTAAATAAACTAGACCTCGTGATATCTCGTATACTCTAAAGTCGTCTAATAATGATGAGCACATGTGGTGAATAATGGTTTTTTTGATTCATCAAGGAGTGTGACTTATTCTGATAGGCCAACAACTCGGTGAGCTGAGAATTATTATTAATCACATGGTGTGTTGTCGATTATATTCAATCATTATGTCCTAGTGCGTCAGGTTGATGATGTCCCCAAGATGAACTCAAAAAGATTATTATGTCAAACAATGCAAGCGGATGGAGTTCTAACATAATAATAAGAATTGAGTGATACTAGTTTTGAAAAATGAAAAAGTTAATTAAAATGTCACTAATTAATTAGTTGACGTGTATTATATCTTAAATACGGGGAGATAAATCGATGATAATGCGCCCCATGTAATTGGGGTGAGGAAAAAATAGTGCAATAATAAATCTTTAGTCGACTGATTTGTTAGTAATGACTCAAGAAATATAGTGGACCACAACTCAAGTATTTGTTGGCCCTTTGGGAGACCTATTCTAACCTCCTTAATATCTTTGTTGCAGCCTGCAAATAAATCACTTGGGGTCTCATTCTCTTACAAGAAATCATAATTCACATGCCTAACCATAATAAATATAGGGCTAGGCGCGCGAGTGAGAACAAGAGAGGGGAGAGCTAACACACGAGTTCGGGAGATCGTCGCTCACACGATACCCAACAGAGGTGAATGAATATGACTAAAGACGTTGAGATCATAGGCATCGAGAAGCGAGCTAGACATGTGAGTGCAAGAGTTGAGAAATCAAAACGTTTGTCCGACCCGTAGGCCGTGTAAGTCGTCTCAGAGTCGGCTTAAATAAATCTGTAAGATCTTGTTCCTAAACTTTAGATCCTTTGTGCATATGATTAATTTCTTAGGATTTGATTAGATAACAATAACAAATGTTCTTTGTTGAACCCAACAGAATCGAGATTAAGAGATAAAATGACTTATAAGTCCAATGGTGGGACTAGCAAAGCAAATATGGTTTAAAACTAAAATATTTTGCTGATAAAAATAAAAAATCAATAATGCTTCAATCTAAAGAAAAATTATAAGAAAATAAAGGGCAAAAAAGGCTCTTATTTTGTATGTGAAAAACATGGACATGTTGCAATAGATTGTCTAGATCGAAAGGGGCTAAAATGAATGCAAGCGGTGATGAGATCATTGCAACTTTAAGCCATGTATGTGGCGTCTAGGGGAAGGTGCAGTGACGGTTGTAGGATGCAAGTGTCACCGTTCATGCTACCTATGACAAATCTCTTTTCAAAACTTTTGAAAATGCAAATGGTGATCAAGAGATTCAAACGTGAATTGAAAAAAAAATCCAAAGTGCTAGGCAAATACACAATTTAGATGATTTTCACTTTAGGAAAAAAAAAATCACACTTATTAATGTGTTGTATGTTCCTGATATGAATAAATCTTGTTAGTGGTGATTTACTTAACAAACCGGGTATAAATGTCGTGTTTGAATCAAGTAAGCTACTTTTTAACAAAATCAAAAAAATTTGTTGGAAAAGTTTTTTTTATTGATTGGATGATTAAACTTTATACTGAAAATAGCATGAATAAATAGACATCTACTTCTGTTTATGTGTGTGACTCAAATTATTTGTCATTTTGGCATAATAGGCTTGCACATGTTGATTTAAGCACTATTTAAAAATAGTTTAATTAATTGTGATATAAATGAATTTAAAAAATGTAAAATAAGTGTCCCTTCCAAAATTATTAAAAAAACTTTTCAAAGTGTTGAAAGATCATCAAATTTGCTAATTTAAAATAATAGTGACCTTTGTGAACTTAACAGTGTAAAAACTAAATTAGATTTTTTTTAAAACGAAAGACATCCCATTTTCTCTCTCGCGAAAACTCTTCCCCCATTTTCGCTGGAACTTTTCTCCTTATTCACCGTTGATTTGCCTTCCACAGCGATGGCGGGTCTCGGCCCAATGGTCGCCTTCGTCTGCGTGGCCTGCCCTTGCTGTTACGCGCCCCTAATTTTTCTGCGATTGGTGGTCCTCCGTGGTCCCTCTCGGCCGGCGTTGTCTTTTTCGAGTGAGGTCTTTGGACTCTGGTCACCGGCGGGTATGCGGTGGTATTGGGCGGTGTGTGGATCAGTGGGTAGGGCGTGGCTCCGGCTGCTGCAGCGTTTTCGCATCAGAGCGGTTGGAGTGAAGAACCAAGCCGCTCTCACCCCTCCAATTCTCTAGTATTGGGGACGGCAGGGGATCTGGTGCTTCTGGGCTCGACTAGTGGTGTTAGACGTGTTTGGTGGTGCTGGAGTGGAAGCCGGCTTGTTGTTTCTCCGGTTGGAGGCTGGTCATTTCGGGGTTTGGTTTGGTGTTCGGGTTCGGCTTCTGTATAGGCGGTTCGACATTTTCGGAAGTTGTTCTCTGGGAATTGGATTTTCCTTGGACTCGACTATTGCTCTGTTGGTTCGGCTCGGTTGATCTGCTGTGGAAAAGCTCCCTTTTCGTTTGATTATGTTTTTGTATGGCTTTAGTTTGTTGTTTGGTTAGGATACGTGTTTTTGGTTTGGGTCGTTGACCTCTGTGAATCCGAGTGTGAGCGTATTATCCTGTTGGGCTTGTACACTCGAGCATTATCTTCTTAGGATCTTTTTCAGTAGTTTTATTTAGTTTTGTTTGTATTGTTGCGAGTTTGTTATTTATCGTTGCTAGGTGAGGGTCTAGGCGATCTTCAAATCTGTCTCTCAGTCTTTTCAGTCTTTGGTTGTATTTTTTAGCTTTGGATGTTTCTCTTCGCACTTTGTGCGGTCTTTAGTTATATAATATCTCTATCATTTCGAAAAGTGTAATCTATAAATGTTAAATTAATAAATTTATATTTATAATAAAAATTTAAATTTATGATTTATTTTTCTTAGCATTTATTAAAATTGTTTTATTATTTCTATTTAAAACTATATCATTCACACTTAAAACTCACGCATTCTTATTATAATAAATTCTACATTACTTTCATATAATATGTTTGATATTCTTCCTATTTTTAATAAGTGTCGTTTTGAAATTGCACAATAATTAGGAATATTTTTTTGCCAATAATAATCCTCATTAATGAAGATAGAGATGAATACTTTGAGAGAAAGATGAAGAGTGAATATGAAAAGACGTAGATAATAATAAAAAAATATGTACAAAAGATCCTAAATATCATTTATTTAGTTAATAGTTGATAAAACTAAAATTACATTTAAAAAAAAATAGGAGATAGTAGAAAATTTATTTAATTCATGAATAATAATTCTATAATTTATAAAATTATTTAAATTAACACGAGAATTGGTCATTTTCATATTTCCGAGGTCAGAAGCAGAAAGTAGAAAAAATGCATTTTGATAATAATAATTTTCCCTCAATTGATAATAATAAAACGAAAAGGGAAAAGAAAAAAGGAAAAAAAAGCGCAAAAAGATGAGTAGAGCGATATGCAAATCCATACTATTGCCTTCTCTCACTTCCACTCACCTCCGGGCCGCGCCGCTCCGATCCGCCGCGTCGAGGTCGTCTCGAATGGCCGCCGAAGATTCTTCTTCATCATCGTCCTCCTCTTCTTCTCCTTCACCTTCCTCAGCTATCGATTTCCTCACTCTGTGTCATCGTCTGAAGGTAACTCCAATGTATTTATGTATTATTTCCGTGCGAGTTTTCGCATTGAGACCGTGCTGGAAACGAGAGATTTGATTCAATGTAATATCTATTGGCTTCGCAGAATGAGAATTGCGAATGAAAATTTGTGCATTTCAGTGTTTTCTGACTTGTTTGTTAATGGTTTGGTGTTCATATAACTGATTAAAAATGGGGAAACCAATGACATGTAGCCTTGTAGTAGGCATGGTCGTGCTATTGTATAAGTCTGTTTTGTAGTTTTTTCATTCTAAACACTTGTGCAGTGTTGTGAAGGATATCTTTCATTGGATACTGGTGTTGGATTTTTAGCTGCTGTATCACATTTAGGGATCATTAGCTGCCATCATAATTGTTGGGATTCGTATGAAATACAGAAAATGAGTAACGGATGATTACTTTGTGGAAAGTTGATAGTTATGGGTGTCGATTTTATTCTTGTGTGGCCGGTGACTATCAGTGCATTGCAGCTTTTATGATTCTATGGAAAAAATTGGTTTAACAACTGCTGCTCATGTTTTCGATGCTATATGCCTCATTTAGATTTGCTGATGTTGAATTTTGGAATCTAATTAGGCAACTAAGAGAGCCGGATGGGTGCGAAGAGGGGTTAAAGAACCGGAGTCAATAGCTGATCACATGTATCGGATGGGATTAATGGCTCTTATAGCTTCCGACATTCCTGGTGTAAACCGTGAAAAGTGAGCGGCTTTTATGAATTGTTGCTTTTCTGTTTTCTTACTTCATTTTGGTGAAGCCTGATATTCATTCAACATAAAATTCCTATTTTTGTTTGGAAAAGTAGACCAGCAATTCTGTTTTGATTTTCAGGTGTATGAAGATTGCCATTGTGCATGACATTGCTGAAGGTGAGAATTACTCATTTGCACTAGTTACATTTCTTCGAATATACTATTTGCCTCGAAGAAGGGGGCAATTCTTTTTTATCGGTATATATTTTCTGCTTGAGAAAGATATTGTCCAGTCGCCAAGCATCCTGTTCTTAGAATATGTGAGAGTATTATATAGTTTTTATGTTATCATCTGACAGGATACTTGTGCACCTGTGTTTAAGCATTCTTTACTAATGAAGCAAAAGAAGCAGAGGAAATGGAATAAAATAGATCCGGTACTAAATGTTATAACCTGGTGTAACATGTATAAGTTCTATAGTTGTTTTGGTTGTATATACCCCATTTACTATTCCAAAGCTACCCTAAGTGAGCGAGGGAGAGCATTTATTGTCAGAATGGTGAAGTATATGATGATTTATTAGCTATATTAGTTGATTATTTAATTTATTGTACTTATTTTTCTACGAGATACTCTAATCTCATCAGAAATGAATAATTTGTAAATGCTGATCTGCCATTGGTCTTGTTTGTTTCATCTGGACAGCTATTGTTGGAGACATCACTCCTTCTGATGGGATCCCAAAAGAAGAAAAGAGCAGACGTGAACAAGAAGCATTAAAAAACATGTGTGAATTGCTTGGTGGAGGGGAACGAGGTATTAAACCCCTTCATGCTACACTTGCAGTTTGTTTAAAATCAATCTTGACAATGTGATCTATCTTTTTACCAGTTGCCTGCTGATTGTACGTATTTGATGTAGCTGAGGAGATCCGTGATTTGTGGATGGAGTATGAAGATAATTCTTCAATGGAAGCTAAACTTGTAAAAGACTTTGACAAGGTACTACGTTATGGATGTACTATGTAATATTGAATTCACTTACTTGATAGCTCTTGTAGTGATATGTATTGCTCAAGGTTCAGAATTAAAGTATATCAATTTAGTCCTCTCACTGAGTGTCAATCATGCAAGATCTATGAAGCTGACAACATGAAGTGAATCCATACTAAAAAGGTGAAAAATGAAAAATAGCAAATATCAGGAAGTAGGAATAAGGTGAAACACATAACCCCATGTAGCATCCGCGTCTCATTTGCATGGAGGATGAAACTCTATGGAGTACTTTTACCAGTTGTCTGTTGGTATTTGGAGATAGTTATTAGATGAGTAATATACCAGTAGAGGTGCTGAACCTTAATTTGGTAGTCGCATATATGGTTATTCTCAGAGATGCTTAGCATATTGAAACTATTAGTTTTATATTTTTTATTTGATTTGTGCTTCCATTATTTGCTTTCATATCTTCTAAATTATGGTAATTATTTATTTATTTTTCAGGTGGAGATGATACTTCAAGCCTTAGAATATGAAAATGGTAAATCAACATTGTCCCTGTCGTTGTTTCCAGTACCTTTAAATACTTTCATATCTTGGATTTTTTGGATCTTGGGTCGTGATAGGGTCTGAGAAATTAACACGTTGGTTTCCCCAAACTCAAGAAGAATATACCCGATTACTTGATGGAACCTACCTATATGAGTTGGCCTCATGGCTTTTAAATATCATATTTCAGATTTAGATAGGAAATTTGCGATTCCTGTAATCAACAGTTAATACCACAACATTGATGGTTGAAACGAAAGGAGCAGTAATTTTCACGCATTGCATACATACAAGCTGAACAACGTGTAGACTGCAATGTAGGACGTAAATATTATTTAATGTGTTAGAGATCAACCCCAATGGAAGAATCATAATATTTAAACATTCTTGATTATTTTGATCATTTTAGTATCTGTCATAGTGTCATAGTAACTGGCATGCCAAACAAATAAAATGAAAGTTCATGGTGAATGATAAGTATGAACCAAATAGTTTCACCTAATTTTGTTAGCGTCTATCTGGCCAAAGTGTTTTCGATCACTCCGAAACTGATACACTATCTTGTATCCAGAGCAAAGCAAAAATTTGGAAGAGTTCTTTGAGTCCACTGCAGGTGCACACTAATACCCAGTTTTTTCTTTTTTCTTTTTTCCACAAAAGCATCCATTCTACTTATCCACTACATTTACTTGTTGCTATCCTGATATTTCCTAAGTTTCAGGAAGAGAATTTGATATTTGCTTATTATGACTGTCTTACATCTCTCGCATATGAAGTTTGCATCTGCTGAGTGTGTTCTGAAAGTATTGGCACAAACTCAAGCAAAATTTAAAAAAAAAAAAAAATACAATAGTTATTCCATTTTAATGAAATTAATAAAAAAAATACAATAGTTATTCCTGGCATAGTGCTAATAATGGACTAGATCAAAATGGCTCAATTAAATTCTAGTGCTTCTTCTATTAGTGAAGTTTCTAGAAAAAAAATAATATATCAAACGGCGCAATGCACCTTGGGTCGCTACGGAAACAGCTTCCTTGTATAATTACAAGGGTAAGGTCTGCGTACAACTGACCCCCCAGACCCCAACCTGTTGGGAATATACTGGGTATGTTGTTGTTGTTGTTGTTGTTGTATTAAATTTAAAGTTTTTTCAAATCATCCATATCCGTATGGAATTCTTTGATATCAGTTAAATGTTTCTTTTTGAGATGTTGGAGATTCCTCAAATGGTCGTAATAGCTAATGAATCATTTCAAGTGCTATACTCTCGTGAATGGGCATTTCCACTTACTGAAGAACTGAATGCATTATTTGCAAAAATATTTCATATTAAGTTCTATATAAGCTGAAAAGTTGGCATGATCTCCTAACTTATTGTTCATGTTTTCAGTCACTATATACGTTTGTTATATAGTGTTGTTATCTAAATTTTCTTTCCTTCTAAAGGGAAGCCGAAAATAAATGTGTCTCGATTTATTGTCATCCTGTTTAACTGCCGGTCTTTTTGTAGGGAAGTTCCAAACTGATTTGGGAAAAGCTTGGGCTTTCGAAGTTGCGTCAAGGCGAAAAAAGAAATAAACGAAGTTTAACTGAAATATACCTGGAAGGCCGAAAGTTACTAGTGTTCTTAACCTCTTTGGCTGGTTTTCAGTGGATACGCAGTTTTAACTGTTACAACTTTTGTGACAGGTACAATTCCCACAGCATACAGTACAACTGTTGATTAGCTAAACGCTCATTTTTTATGTTTCTGTGAAGAAGCATGCAATGACGTAGGCCAGAAAGACCATGTTTCATATGTTTGCATCCAAATGTAAAACTTGGTTGATGGGCATATGTGATAAGACCCCAATGTACGTTAGCTTTTAATGGCCCAACAAAAGCGTTGTGTCCAGAATAGGGCCCAATAAGCGCACAACAAGTGCCCAATAATGGTGCGGAAGTGAAGTCGTAGACTAGATTGTGACACCGTGGCAAAATTTCTCAATTTCAATCTTCTTCTATTTCGGTCATTCGCATTGAATGTTGCGAATGTTTCTGTGGGGTTTATGGTATTACGAATTACCAGCTTTTGCAATAAATTATTGTCGATTCTTTTAAAGGTGGAGAATAGCTATTCTTTTATACTTATCGAGTTTTTATAATACAAACATAAAAAGTATATATATTTTCAATTAAAGCCAAGCTCAATTGTCCACTTCATTTTCATGAATCTCAATCAAATTTCCATTATCTTGGGCCAGAAAGCTCCATGCAGGTGCCACATCATCATAATCACCACCAACATCCATAGTCATTCTTATTATTCATGTGTTTTTTTTTTTTTTGTGGGNGGTGTGTTATTCTTCATTATTCAAGATTGTAGTCTCCACTTGTAAGAGTTTTAGTTTTGTGGCTTAGTTTGAGTTAGCGGCTCTAGGCTACCTGTGAGTAGTCGTACTACGTCGGGGTAGTCCTCCACTAGTTTCAGTTTAGTGGTCGTTTGATTCAGCTGTCGCGGTTGCCTTAATCAATTTTATGTTTGTGGTGTATTGTTTCGCAAAAAAACATGTATTACAATTAGAAAATCAATTATAAAATTGGGGTTGACTTGATTTTTTTTATGGATACAAATTTAATCCTGATTGAATCAAATTATGTAGAAAAATATATGTTTCGAGTAAATACTCGTGATATATTTATTTTTGATAAATGATTAAAATTAACTATTAATGAGCACGTGAGATACGAAAAATCAAGAGACCTATCTCATATTGGACTCGTAAACGATGATAACTCTTTTTATTATAATATAAATGAGTTGAAGAGGTCACAACAACAAAAGCTATGTACAAAGTGTTGGTGTTGTCTTCGATCACACGAGCGCACCCGCTGATCGGCTCGGGTCAGGCCTTGGACTTGGACTGTGGGCTAGACTTGGGCGGATAGTCTGAGTTTGTACCTCAGGTCCAACCTCTATAATATTTTTGTTGATAGTAAAGTTGTGGCTTAATATTAAAATCCAAACTGAGTTGGGTTTGGACGTCTTAACACTTGAAAATGGGAAAGTCGTTTATGTCCATTACAATAGCCATGACTGGGTTGTTGTTTGCCTTTAGTGATAGCTGACCTCTGGTTTTCTCTACCTGAGCTAGAAATAGTTCTATAAATAGAACATGGTTAGAATTGCAGAAGGACACTGAACATAACATCACCTGCATCTTACTCTCTGAAAGTCTCACGCATCATATTGCAAGTGTGCTCAGTCCTCGACTTTATCGTAGTTCGCCGGAGCTCAAAGTTTGGTGTGCTACAGTTGTTGTATATTTGGGGACAAGACGCTTCGTCATCACTATGCAAGCACACTTCTTACGAAAAGAGATATTCTTGCCCCAAATATAATCTTCTGTTTAAAGTTGTAATTTCATTTCATATCTTTTTAGTTATTCTGTAAGAACTAAAATGGATTCTCGTAAAATCGATACTCAATTTGTAACTCTAGAAACAATGAAATATTAGAATAATCACACAACAATTAGATTTGTAAGAACGAATTAAAAAGAATGAAAAATGATATTAGAATAATCACACAACTAACAAAGTTAGGTCAACAAAATGTTCTTGAATTAGTATTTGTATTGCTTAGAATTGTGAGAAAGCAAAGTCCTTTATAGCATCTCCAACGTGAGATGTTGACTCAATAAAATGTTAGTCACATTATCAAGTTATAGAGAATGACTAGAGTTTCGTTACAAAATCATTCCGTCAATATTTTTAAGCGTAGATTATCTACCCTACACTAATCTGCATGTGTATATGACGGTTACAAATATTGACGAAATGATGTAGCTGGACTCCAGTCATTCCCCAATTTATAAAGTTAGTACAAAAGTTACTCTTCAATTCATAATGGCATGGACTCTTTTATGATGACGTGGATATATTAAACCTCCACACCGTGAAACTCACTTTCTAGTTTTCCAAAGTGCGTTTGAAAGTCAACTCATCCAAAATCTAATAATGAAGGATTTTTTTCTTTCTTGTGATTCAGTTTAAATATTTTTTTATTTATTATTAAAGAAAATAAAATTCACCTATACTAATTTTATGCTTTTGAATGGATGCATTGGAGTTATATATTGCAAATCATAATGCTTCTTAAAAAAAAAATTAGACAACAACCAAACCATTGGCTTAAAATTCCTCCTTATATATTAATTCAAAACATGTCTAAATGACAGATTCTCACGCTTCGGATGCCGACATGGTGAACATACATGCTTCGTAATGTTGTTTATACATTCATTTTTGCTTTGGAGTTAGGTTTGCTATTAGACATAAATAACTTTTTTCAAACTTGGTAAGTATATATTTAATTTTGTTATTTTGTTCTCTTAGTACACATTTCCTTCTTACTTTGGGTAAGTAGCAATCTTACCATATTATAATTTTCTTCCATATTTTTTCTCCTAAATTACGATTTACAAACTTTCTGTATTGTCTATTCCTTTTTTATTTGTTTTTCATCAATTAGTCCGTCAAAATTTTTAAATAAATTTATTTTAGCAATAACTTTTATCATATATTTCTTAACTCAACACCCGTGTAGTACACGGGTATTGTACTAGTCTATATATATATATATAAAAAATAAGAATTACTATTTACTATAAATAGTAACTAGAAATTTTAGGACAACATTAATTGCTTACTATTTTTAATTTTTTTTTTTTTTTACATAAAAACGAATCATCATTTATAAATTAGGAGGCCTACAAATTAGGAATCTACTTTGAAATACAAATTGAAATCGGATATATCCTAAAATAAAGGAATTTGTTTATTCCCCCATCATACAATCCCATATATCAATACCATTAAATTTGGATTGTTTTTCTTTTTTTGTGTACATAAAACTGAATAAGCCGAATCAGCCTTTATGACTTAGGCAACCTACAAATTTGGGAATCTAGTTGAAATACAAATTGGAATTTGATATCTCCTAAAATAAAGGAATTTGTTAATTCCTCATAATACAATCCATATTAAAATATGAATTTTACATATTTTATATGCACATGCAGACTGCTAGAATAAATAAAAGCATTTTATCATTGTTTACTTAATTACTTATCTTCATTAAATATTACCTTAAATTTCGGGATTTAGTTCATTTTATTATTTAAAAAATTTGGCTAAGATTTATTAAGTGTGTATGTTTTTATTTTTATTTTTATTTTAGAAACAACGAACAACATTAAAATCTCGGTCTCTATATTTATAAAATCTCAATTCAAAATATAACAAAAGTTTTAGAATCTCGGTCTTTATATTTATGCCTTTAAAAAAAATATTGAACGCTAAAAATATTCTTTAAATTGCATAATCAATCAATTAATCTTAATATTTTGAAAATTACTATGTTTATTTTTTATTAATATGTATAAAGTACAAATAATTAATTCATCTTTAGGTATATAATTTATAATCTTAATATACCATCATTTGGTGTAGACATTTATTATATGAATCATAAAATATTTTTATTTCATAAAATTAAATATATTTAAAGAAAATAAAAAAATTTCTTCAGATCAATGGCGTGATTGAATTAGGATACTGCCCAAGTTAATTGAATTACTTTTAGGTGATATTTAAAATAGTCAAAAAAATTAACACAACTTGGTTGGTCCCAGGTGACTAAGTTATGTATCAGTTCGACTACACAAAATCGATTATTGAACCTAAATATAAATTTTATATTGAAAATATTTTATTACGTGAATGCAATGTAGTCCAAACTTCAAATAGTCGTATTAACAATACTTTTATGACAACATGTTTAATGATTTATGAATATTTATATATCATTTTATTAATATTTATGTGAATTAAATAATATTTTATTATAATATTTATTAATGTACAGTAAATATAAGGTTTTCAGGACTGGACCGTCATCTAAACGATCAAGATATTTTATTAAATCATTTGTGGTTTGTTCAGATTTTAATTTGTAAACATTTTATTATATATATATATATAATACTTTTTGTAATAAACTTAAATAAAATGTGTTACTTAGATGTCTAAACAATTTATAAATTCAAATGTTTAAACTAATTGATTAATAATTTATAAATCTCTATTTTATTTAAATATGTAATTTTATTTAAAATAATTTTAAATATAACAAAATTTATTTAGAAAATCGTATCGATCCTACCAGTCCAACCAACTGGTGTTGACGGATTTGAGAGCAAATATTTTATTCAAGCGAATTAGACTGGTTATAAACCGGTTCTCGGTCCATCCGGTCAGATTGTGTCCAACCCGGTTTAATTTAAAAACAATGGATAAATCATGATTAATGTTATTTATATATTTAATTTATAATACAATCGTAATATTGTTTTCCCGTACATCGCACGGGTCACGCACTAGTTCTAATTAAAAACCGGAACCTAGCCAGCAATTGTGGGGTTTAAAACGGAAATACTCAAATCTAAAGTCTCAAAATGGAATAAGAAGAAATGTCTTACGACTAGTAGAAAACGCCCGCCGGATAAGAAATTCAAAATAGAGAGAACAAAAGAGGTGACCCGTATTACCGTTGGCAGCACGCACTACACACGCTCAGAAACCCACAGAGCGGCCGGAGGAAGATGATGCCGAGAAACTCCGGCGTGGCGAAGTTGAAAATGAGGTCGAAATCGACGAGGAAACCACTTCGAGACTTATCGAATGCCAAGCTCGCCGTGAAACCTGCCGATAATTTGAAGAAAACTTCCGAACACGAAAGAGGACAAATTGGAGACGAAGTTTCACTCGATCGCCTCCTCCTCGTACAGTCTGATCTCTCATCTCTCGTGCGTCAGGTAATGTGTTTATCATTTGGGGAATTTGTATTGGAAAACGGGGTAGTATTTAACAGTACTTTCTGTTTTCTCTCCTTTTTTTGGGGCCTAGGGTTTTGGTATGTTCGGTTTGGTTTTGAATTTGGATGTTTCTGTGATTATGAACATCAAGTCTTCACTCGAATTTGTGTTCTGAGTTGGCTTCATTGTAGTTCATCGAGACTAAATGGAATCAGGAATTTTTGGGCGACCGTGACTAAATGGTTTGCCTGCTCTATGGGTGAAAAGCTTTGTTCTGGTTAATTAAGGGTCCACTGTGAGCTTAATTAAGAAGGCCGTAATTTCTTGCTTTTGCATCTGGTTTTGATGTTCTGCCAAAGGTGGTTGCACTATTGAACTGCTTGTTCAGCCTACTTGGTTGCCAGGATCAATTGTGGATGCCGCCTTCTCTTGTTTCTCTTTCATTTTCATGACTTTCTCTTTATGTGTGGTGTGTGTTTGATTGAGAATTGGTTACTATTGTGCTAATTAGTAATTTGAACTGATTTAGTGTGTCCAGAAGTGATCATTTTGGAATTTAAGAAACTAGAAATGGTGTGTGGATTTACTATTTCTTCTAATTCAGCAGGTTTGATTGGCAAATTTGAGCGGAGTGTGGTGGATTTATTTACTTGTAGATGTGATTTAGCCACTTTGGGTTCTGTGATCCATATTGACACATTACTTGTAGATGTGATTCATGCCAACTAAGTGTAAATCTACATATCATGTGGCATGAATACCTTCGAAATGCTTATATGCAGTGCTTGATAGGAAAGCAAAACTGGTGATACACACCCTGATTTTTTTGTTTTTATCCAGCCAACTTAAGTGAGGAAAAAGGAACCAAATTCCTCTTTCTGCGTTCTCTGCTTTACATTTCACCAACATTCAGTTTCTCTTTTCAGCTGTAGAATGGGAAAACCTGCTGTGTATTGTAATTTGTAGTCATGCGGGCTTTTTCTGCAGTAATAGATGGCAATACTACGTCTTTTTCTTTCTTAATCACCGGAAGTTCACTTCGAATTTGAAAAACTGGGTTCAAATCTTCGTTATTGGACATTGTATTGGTCAAGATGAGTATATTTACTTCTTTTTTCAATAATCTGCTGGCAGATTGATGAACTAGTTGTCCAAGCACTCCAGTTGACAGGCAATAAAGGGAAGAAGGAAATTAAACAATTTGCGGATGTCTTGTCTGATATGCAGACCTCCTTGAAGGTCGATCCTTCATTTTAATACTTATGATTTTCAACCTCACAGTATCTAAAAGTTTGAATGTATGACTCTGCAGCCATGGGTTCCCAGATTGCAGAAGGCACTGCTCAGTCAATCAATGCCGCCCAAGAACGAATCAGAGCAATCAACAGAAAGAACTGTACCCTGTGTGCCAGTAGAACACGAAAGTGAAGTTTTTGAAAGCCCTGAAAAAACCAAGTGGGATTCGCTCGTCTCCCCATCACCCCTCGTGTCATGGCGGGCCGAATGCAACACGGAAGGTGGCAGGCAATTGTTTTTACTTACACCACTGCCTCAAAAGGGGGCATTTTCGTTAAAACGGCAAGTGATTTCCATTCCCACATTCCAAAATATTGAAACTGAAGAAAATACCAAGTGCGGGAACTCAACCAAGATTTCTGAAGCGAATTGTCTGTCAACTTTTGTCATGACTCCACGCGTGAGAATGTCACCGCCTAAGTCTTGCATTCTGCTCGAGCCCATATCCAAGTCTGCCCAGAAGAAGAAAACCCTTGGGGGGGCCTACAAAGCGACACCTTTTCCTGTGCACGCTCGAAATTCTGGTGGTGGGTCCCAAGATTCCGATTCCTCCGGCACTGCTCAATCTTCGGATGATCTGGCAATGAAATACCCTGAGCTTTTCGGAATCAAATTGAATGATCTGGAAAGGAAGATGGTGGAGGAAGATTCTCCTGATTGGATTGTCTCACCTCCTAAAACATGCGTAATAATGGAGCCTGCTGATCAAAAATTGCTGGGAAATACTTCTGGTAACAACTTGGGAAAGCAAAAAGATGCAGCTTGTGATCAGCAAGACAACTTGTTTGCCCTGAAGAAAGTAGACTACAAAGGGGGTCAAGGTACATGTGTTCAAAATATTTTGTTTCATTTTCCAGGATTGCAAATTTGCAATAAACACACTAAAGTTTTGCCTAATTATGTAATAAAAAAAAAAAAGCTGCAAAAGTTTGATATAGGGGTTTGTAGTCCCATTGTAGTTTCTGGAATTATCTGTTATATTGTAGTATTGCTGACGAGCGAGAGGCATGATAAATAATTAAGGTGCTTGTTTGTTTTTGTCTCAACAGCTATAGGATGTGAAATTGATTTAGTTGAGAGCACACCCATGATTAAAGAACCTATAAGCTGTTTACGAACGGGAAAGCAGCCAGGGGAAAATACTTTGAAAAAGGAACTTTGGACGAGATTTGAAGCTGCAACGACTCATGGTATGCATTTCGGTGACTCTGTTCTCCAAGACAAGACTACTAAAAAGGGATTTCTTGACCGTTTAGAAGAGGCTCTTGAATCATAAAAATTTTAGTTTGTATTTGGGTATATTTTTTGAACTCTACTTGTGGAAGTATAAAGTTTGAAGGTCTTAAGATGATGTATCACTTGTATGCCAACTTCCCAAAAATATGAGAGCCTCATTATTGACAATTTTGAAGGACTTGGGAGACACTGTACAGATATTCTGTATTATCATTTTATATGATCTGCATATGTTCTGGCACGTTGACCACGGCACCAAAACTGTTGACCACGGTTAAGGTTCAAAACCTGAACTGAATACAGTCAAAATGCGGGCAGGTTATGGTTCATTTAAGTTATTTATTTTGCGATCCGGTTCAGTAATGCAACCTGAATTGGACATTCCAAAATTCAAATTTTGAAGTTTACCTTCCTAGACCGGATCTGGATGAACTGCCGATTTTTCATCTGGACTGAACATTTAAAAAAAATTCAAATTATGAATGGTTGTGATCATCGAAAGCTAATTACCAGCATGCTTAAGATTTCAAGGTCGTTTTCTCTTGGTGGCGCTTTGTTGTTTTGGTTTCAGTTTTCAGTTTTTGCTGGTTTTTTAATGGAATTTTTCTCCTACTGTGACAAAAGGTATGAAATTGGGGCACTTGCTCTTCTGAATATGAAATTGTTGTTGGTATTTTGAGTTTTTCGGAAGAGACATTTCTGCAAGTGCCATCTTTCACGCATCAACGTAAGTAAGGGTATATTCGTTTGGGAGACTTTTTAAGATTTTCAAATTTATGATGAATACTGTGAAATCTTAAGTCTGAAGATGAGATTTAGAATGAGATTTTGTATATAGTTTTTCTTTTGAAAATTCAGTAAATTTTAAAGAGTCTTAACAAATCCTAGTCTCATATTTTGTAAGAATTTAAAATTTCAAATGAACACCTCTAGACCTTAAAATGTCTAAATCAAATACACCAGTATTTCTGAAATCGTAAAGTCTTTAAAAATCTCAAACGAATTCACATATGGCAAGTTCTTGTTTGAGATGGCCTAACCGTTAAGCTGGTCGACCCGTCACATTTTATTTTTTAATTTTTTTTTTTTTTTTTTTTTTTTTTTTTTNATTTTAACGAAAATGCATACTATGTTATGAGATAAACGTCAAGATAAATGTCATTAAGAAGAAGATGAACGACATTCGCACGAGAAATATCTGGTAAATATTAATTATGCAGAAGCATAAAAGTACAATAAGAACAACCTTTCACATTTCTAGCAAAAACCAAAGGCCTGTTTTTACTAATAAGTAATAAGGGAAACTGTGAGTTGATCCTTAGTTATTTAGAGCGACATGCTTTCTCAACAGGTCCAGCTTGTCTTGCATACTGAAAAAACAAATTCAGAACCAAATGTCAGTTTTTATTTCCCTAATATAAAACACACTTACATACACTCATGCATTTTTGTCTGAGAAAATTTTGACAAAAAAGTAGATAAAAACTTTAAAAATGGACCTGAAAATAAGTTTCCAGTTTCTTTTTCAGAGCAGCATATTCCTTCTTCAGTTGTTGGAATGTTTTCTTGCATCTGTAGAAAATGGGAAAAATATGATTAAATAAATAAACCAAATTAAAGCCTAATAAATATTAATCAAAAGCAGAATTAAGATAACTTTTACCCTTCACCATCTCCAACTCTGCATTGTTCTCTGAACTGTGTAGCCTCAATTTTGACTTTCCTGGCTCCAATGCTGTAACAATTAAGTACACTTAGAAAATTAGGACATTTGAATAAAGCTCCAAAATAGATTTTTAATTTACTCTCCTTTTTTTATTTTAAGTTAATAACCTTGAACTGCTGCCCTTGAACTGGTGCATTAGGCTGTCCAGCTTAACAAAGTCAATAGGTTTTTTCTCCCTACAAAAAAAGGGAGATCACAAGCTTTAATTCGATATAGCTATAACAAATAAATAATATGTATATTTAGGATATTATGAAAGGAAGTTGTAAATGTAATTAGTCTTGATAACAAACAGAGATTTTGTTGAAACTCACAAGGCTTGTTCTATATTTTGGATCAGTCGAGCCGAATCCCGGTAGTATAACGTAACAACTTCTTCGACAAAATTGGGATTTGCATCATCTTGAAGCTCTTCTAGCTGATGAAATTGTTCATCCAAATATCCCTGCAGAAGATTTATTAATTACAAAAAATGCAAATTAAAGGTCCTATCTAAAGTAACTTAATTCTAAGGTGTTCCTTGCAAAAGCAAATGGATTTTATTTATTCTTAAATTTTCTTTCCATAAAGTTCATGTTGATCATAGGCTCCAACATATATAGCTTTTGTTTGACCACCAAACATCCATATATAGAGATTCTAACTCGTTTATTATCCTTTTGCATGCAAGTGGGCACATTTTATTTACTTTATAATAATATAATTACAAAGGAGCCTATAACATGGTGTTTTTTTCCCCTCAAAAAAGGCAAGACATTTGATTTGTACCTGATCAAAAAGTAATTGCTTCATGTTAGCTAGTTGTCTCTGCATGTTGATTTCTTTTCTTTGTAAAAACAGTACTTGGAGGAGGAGAAAATATGGAGAAAGAGGTTTTTAGTAATATAAAAATAAAGGCTTAAGTTATAGAGATTTATGGGAAGTGATTTGAAGATTGCAGTATTGAAAGGGTCTATATATAGTTGGCAAGTGTATGGTTTGGTCCCTTTAGCACTACACACACATACATAAGAGATATCATACAAATTCACATATGTTTTGTCACACATATTAGCATGATTCCTTTAATGTTACATCCTATTTGTGTGTGTACACTTATTATGATGAGTTCATATTCTTTTTTCTTAGCTTGTGGTCCAGTGTGGTGTATGTTTTCATGAGATCAAATTTATTTATTTAATTCCCTATATAT